CCGGGTCGTGTTTGACCAGCCACCATATCTGCTCGTTATAGCGAGAAGGTGAGCGTTCGCGGGAACTTGGTGCAGCTGCTTGTGCCTTCTCAAATATCCAGTATTCTCAATTTAATAAGATAAAGATTAATCACTTAATCCTTTAGTTACACTTGTACAAATACTGGACTCTACTATACCGCCTTTCTTGGTTAACCAGAGACGCAAAATATTTGCAGACTATTCGTGACAAAACGCGATCGGAGCATAGGTAAGTAAGTACCTACCTATAATTCATTAACCAGCGAAATGATTTAAATCGAAATGATGTCACGTAGGGGTCAGAAGCGTATCCCCTGTAAATAGCATCGATTACTTTAATGGCCGTGATCATAATGGCGGGGTATGGTGGAACGCTGGCGGGTCGGTATAGGTGTCAGCGATCGTAAAGCGTAGTGGCAGCCGGTAAACGGCCGTTCCGTGTCTTTGTAACGTAATCGGCTAACAGCATGGAACGTTAGTCCACGTTACAATAACGCTGCTTGCACGCTTACAGGCATCGTCGTCGCTATTTAAGTGGCCTCATAAAGAATCAATGTATCGTGCCATTGTCCACGGTGCCTCGACGCGTAAACCCTTTCGCATCTAGTCGAAAAGCCTGTTGCGGAAGAGGATAAGAGGCTTTATTATTAAAGAAGGCCCGCAGAGCCAAGGAGCCGATGAAAAGTACCGATTGCTAGCGACGATAACGACGATAATACAGGCCTTCCACTAGTATTTCCAACCGCTGAACACGAGACGGGATACGAGCATCCTCGTAAAACCGTTCAACTTTTCTTTTCTTTTTTTTCATTTCGAAACCTAGATAATTAGAGTGTTCGAGCATTTATGGTAAAAGCTTTTCTTGGCAAAAGTGGCATCGATGAAGAGAAGTTAAAGGATTAATAAATCCAATGACAATGACATAAATGCTAATTCATTAGTGGGTCAAGCTACTTTCCACGAATAGAAAACTGGAGGATACGATACAATGAATCGTAAGATCCGATATCGTTACGTACCGTGCTCACTGTTTAACAAGCTGAACATCTGTAAGCCTGGTAGCAAACGTACAATTTTCTCTCATTTATCTGCGTGAAGGATAAGTTCCGCAAGAAACTCTTGTTAACAATAGCATATCGTTTTCTCTGTATCCTGCCTAAGAAGAACGCTTTAATAATCTAAATTATCCTCGATAAAAGAAGTGCTTGTTCCGGATAGAAACTCATAAGTTCACCTCTAAACGACAGCCTACTTTAAAAGTCAAGCCAAAAATAGTTAATCCTTTAAGTATCGAGTTTAATTTCCCGTGATGACTCTAACCCTTTAGAGGACTAAACGGGTTCTCGTCTGGGGAATACGCGTTCGCATGATTATATAATCGCTTACAACGCATAGTTTGTCGAAGATTGCGTCTAGCGACGTCAATATCATGCGGATGGACAGACAAGCACGAAGCTTCGATTATTGTGTGAAAATATTTGCTGGCGTGCGTGCTCGATTGCCGCGGAATGCACGCATGTTACCTCGCAATCCGGCAACAAGACGTTTCACGTGACCAGAAGGGAAGCGAAATAATTGATGAGAGGATAAATTTTTCTTCCTTTTATTTTTTCAAACGCGTAGCTTTCTCATTTCTCGATGATCAGCGACCCCCACAGCGTTCGATGCGCTAATTAAATTCCCCTGAATTGCTGTAATATCATAGCGTGCGTCGCGTCGCGTCGCGTCGTATGAAAACGTATTACCATTACAAATTTCGTCACGATTCCAGACTTCCTTTAAATTTAATAAAACCAACCTAATCAGCTAGCGGTGAAAGTAATCTGAATTGAAAGGAAACGAGGAGGAACGATTGACGAGAAAGTGACGAGTCGACGAAAAAAAAGGGCAGGATAGATCGTACGCGATGAGGAAAGAAAGAAAGAAAGCGAATCGTCACGCTACGTCAAAAGGAAGGCATAACGAAGAATAAATAATTAGCGTGCGGCTTTGGGGATGCGGTTTCAGAGCACGCGCCCTGTCGTGCGGCTGTCGACGGCTGTCCTTTAATAACAACGTGGGGGCTGTTACCTGGCTGGGCCTTTTTTCGCGTGTCCTGCGCTAATTCTGGCTAGCTAGCAATCGTTCCAATCGTATAGGATACTTGTGATAAAAATTTCAATTTAATTCAAATGCACATAGTTCGAAATTCAAAGGATCAGTGACACGCGCTTTTCCTTTTAAAAGCGGAAACACCTAAAGCGATTGCACGTGGTTGAGTGAAAAAGGAAAATGAAAAACTGGGCTGAAACGCTGGCCATTAATTATTCATTCGGTGGAAAGTGACACGTAAAGCCACGTGATTACACGCCGTATCGAAGGGTGGACGAGCGTAAAGAGGGATCCATAGGTCAATGTATTCTCGTTTAGCGGTAATAACACCGAGCACGCGCTATTTGTCGCTAACTCGTCGCTTTTCAATGGAAATGCCACGAGTACCGTTACAAGTTACAAGTTACAAGTTACAAGCGATTTTCTAATAAAGCTCGATTTTGAGCATCCAATTTCTGAACATCCTATACAAACATTATTCATAAGCGTAACCGATTTCCAAGCTTTTTTGCTGTTCAAAAACTACTTTCTCATTTGCTCTTTATTCTGCCCGAATCACCGTGACCCCCCTCAAGCACCAGGAACTTTTTCTTCCCGCGTCCACTCAATTAGTGGCTGGTCCTCGAGTTGACCGTCGAAAAACACATTGTACGAGCCGAGTTGTTTTCACGTGGATACGAGACGAGACGAGACAAGACGAATCGCTTGCCGTGTTTCGAGGGCGCAACGCCATGTGTTGTGCTCAATTGGACGCCCTTCAGGTAGAAAAACGCGTATCGGGGCCCGGCTTGTAAACGCATCTGGCGAGCGGAATCGCTTCGGGCCCTGGCCCGTCCGCAGGCGTGCAAACGTGTTCCTTTCTTTCCTCGTTTCTTCCTTTCGACGGTGTTATTTGTAAATCGACGAGGTTTTACGTTAAGTAACGCGCCTCCCAGTCGGCAGGTTATACTTATACGAGTCCGTTTAGCATCTCAAGCTCGTCGCTTTTGAACGCCTCTGGCGTGCAACCGGGACATTTCCTACTCCCCTTTATTTTTTCTCTTCTATCCTATAGCCATCGTGTAAAGATCGCCGAGGAAAGTACGATTAATCAACGAGAGAAGTGAAATTAATAGGCGTGAAATCTGTAGACTAGTAGAAAGACTAGTAGGTTTCAAGTTAACCTGATCATTTAAATTAATTCGTATTGATTTTACTTTAATTAACTAACGCTTACATTAATTACTTGCACGATGATGTATTGAACTTCGATTACCATACGATACAATACGATACGATACGATACGATACGATACGATACCACCTTAAGACACGAGCTCCAATTTTGGAAAGCCCAATTTCACAAGCCAATTTTGAAACCTTTAGAAAGCACTGAAAATCGTGATTGCTTGTCGGAAGGATCATAAACCATTGACCATTTTCTACGATTCTTGTTTGGAGAGTGGAGGGAAAAGCCGAGTAAAGGGATCGGCTTCGATTCGATGCCCTTATTCGCTGCGGTTGTACGTTACGCCGTGTTATCTCGATACAGGTGCGTGCGTCCTACCGCGGAAGATGAACGGTCCTTGGAGAAAGAGGAAACGGTATGCAGATGAGAGTAACTATTACCGACACTTTTGGCGCGGAAACGTTTCTTCTATTCCCGAGATGCGACTGCGACCCGTTTTGGAGCGATCTACGATACAGGGATTGCGAAATGCGTGAACGAACGCCAAGCTTCGCGGTTTCATTCTCATCGTCAGTTTCAACCTGACCGGATAATTTCTCTTCCTCTGAGCGAAGCTCTAGCCGCACCGCGTGCAATAAATACGGTAGCCAATTAAACCCTGACGACGATTTATTTCCTGGTGAACGTCCTGCCTTTTCAGATTATTTCATCCTGTCGCGACTCTGCATACGTATTTCCTATAACGAACTAACACGTCCGAGCGTTTATTACGAATATATCCGTTTATTACCCCCATTAACAGTTCGCAATTATCAGAGAAATCATTTTTGAAAAGGAACGCACAATACAGAGACAATACAGAGAGCTGTTTTAATGATTCGATATCAGAATGATCGTTGATCATTTCTTGTTCATAATCGGGCCAGTGCAACTCTGTCGAGGCACGGAGTCTTTCCCCCAGGCTCCAAACCGACACGCCACGCATAATCACTGTAATTTCGGTCACGGACCGGCGTCATTTTTACTCCAACGATCGTGAACTTTCATTCGATTTCATTAATGCCGCGAGTGTACCCGAGGCAATATTCGCAGGTCGTGCGACGATAACGCGACGTGACCGACAACGATACTCCAGTACCCGAATTACACCGGTGACCATCGAGGGATTTAACGCGTTAACCATTGTGATTTAAACCACGACTTTTCGCAAAGCCTTCATGCTCTTTTTCTCTTTGTCTGACCAAACCACGAAAATGTTGGACGTGCGCCAAAGCAGTGGGCTTGCCACCACGGACAAGTGAAATATTGCTAAAATATCGTGAATTCTATTGGTGAGCCCTCTTACATAATACATATAACCCTCCATCTTTTTTCTGTTTACACAATGAGGCAGAAAGAAAGCGGCGTTCAATGGATCATTAACTTAGAATACAATTAAAACTGATTCGCGAGTAAAATCGACACGACGCCTGATGCTTCCGCGTCTCGAACAAAAGCTATTCTTCGCCTCTGTGTCGATATTAACGAGTTATACTTGGAACTACGTCGCAGTGAAATAGTTTAACTGGGAAACGAGAAGCTGCCTTTAGGTTTCGCACAATAAATCAAATATACCGTCTTGATCTAATGTTTACGTCCTTTTTGGAACTTTTACATTAGATATCGAAACGCATTTGTACGTTTATTTAATAAAATGAAAGAATGAAAAGGAAAAACTCACCGACATCGACGGATGCATCCCACGAAGCGCAGCCCCGCTCCACTTGCGCTTCCTGTTTTGATACTGCGTGCTCCTGTAGTTGCTATTATTCTGATGACCAGCGTACGAGGAACGTGGTTGCATCGAGGGTCGAAAGGATGCGTAAGGCATCGCAGGATATCCAGTGTGTTTACTATGATAATCACTTATCTCGAAACGATGAGGCTCGTGATGAAGAAAAGCACCGTCACCAGGTACACTAGACACTCTGTATCGTTCCTGTTCCCGTTCCCGTTCCCGTTCCCGTTCCCGTTCCCGTTCCCGTTCTTGTTCTTCCATTTTATCCTGTCGAGCTCCTGGACCAGGAAACGCGGGAGGCAACATCGTTGGCCCGTAAAAATGCGGGAACCCATAGGAATTTGGAAAAGCACTGGTAGGAGGACGGTATCCTTGATGCTGCGTTTGACCAGCCATATCATGATTCACTTCGAGTTTCGAGGGTGCGATTGACTTCCTGTCGTAGCGATAGTCGTGCTGATACTCGTCCTGGGGCTCTCGCTTTACCTCAAACATCTCCGTCGACTCTGGAGCCTCGACTTTGACTGTGACGCGAGTGTCAGGGTCGCCCGCGATGTCGGTCTTCATGGCAAAATTCTTCGGCGACTTGACCCGTCCAGGGTCCCCTTTGCAACCACCCACGCTCGCCTGCTGCATCCTCGCGATATTCACGCGCCGCGTATCTTCGACAACCTCATCGCGCGGTTAAAACGAGGGACCTGCTATCCGGTGCGCATCATTCACCGAGAACGAATCGGTCCTTACTGAGGAACGAGGATATTGGGTAAACAGTCTGCGCGGTGTACACAAACTCGAGGCGTGTACAGTCATAATCTTTTCAGGGCCGAAGATCGTACAGGTGTAAGAAGTCACTCTCCTTCCTTCATTTCATCGAGAAATATAAACAAGGAACATCCGTGTTTGAAAAATTATCAATTCTTCTTCGTCTTTATAATACGAAGCATCGTTTGCAGGGTAAGCATCCTTACATGATCATCTTCATAGGCGTCATCATGGTGTAAAAAAAGAAATAAGAGAGAGGGAGAAGGCAACAGTGATTGCGAGCAAGCGGACAGAAGCGTTGAGCGGCACGCTGTCGGTTGGTAGAAGCAGCGCTCGTATAGCCAGCTCGATGCTTTTCGGTCGAGTGGAGGGGGGTGAAGGTGGGGAGCACAAGGGCGGCGTGACAGTTTCCGTGTCACGTGTCCCCCGACCTTAGGCCCCGCCTACGACTCCGATTTTCCTTCGGTCGGATCGTTACCTGGCCCTAGCGGGCACCCTTTCCACTTTCGTCATTCGTCGACTGTCCCTAGGACGAGTCGCGTGAGCGGGAACAACAAGGAAGAGAGAGAGAGAGAGTGGGTTGTCACTTCCAGCTGGCTCGACGCGACGCCACGATTATTCTCCCTCTCCTATGTGATGTTTCGAAACGATGAGTCGCCGTCGAGCGTGAAACACCGTACGCGAAACAACCGGAGTCGCGTTTTCACCGTCTTCCGCGAACTTTTTACGGTACACTGGCTCCGAGAGTGGAACGGCAACCGATGCTCGCTCTCGCACGATCACAAACAGCGAGAGGGGATCGAAAACGGTTCTCGACGCGATCACGACGATATTTCGATATTTCGATCGGGGACACAATTACAGGGGAAAAAAACACCATATCGGTTAGAACGCAACGAGCATACGTAAGGATGCCGGATTGCCTCGGCCGAGCTGATCGCGTACGTCGTACGAGTTTCGTTCCACGCAGCGTGAAACTCTTGGCGGAGGTGCGCGGCCACCACCAGCCACCGAGAACGCACGAGTCTGCCCGAATACATCCGAGCTCCGATATATTTCCTCTACCTACGAAGTCGGCCGGCTGCCTCCCGCTTTATACACGGCCAGACCCACTTTGTGGGTTCACCTTTTGTCGAATCTACCCATATATTCCTATTCAACGTGTTTACTACTTCTTATGATCTGTCTACGAGTTCCTTCCCTTATCTTATTTTCGTTCGTTCATCCGCCATACTTACAGAACGAATCGTTGATCGAACGTAACCCCATCTCTTCGAAGTATCGCTTTTTCGTTTCAGAGTGTTTTCAGAACCATACTTTCCGCAGTACGTAACTGTCTTGAAGGGTTGGAATAGTTTTCTTCGAACAATATCGATTCTACCATGCACCGCCATTGATTCCACGCTTTACCGTGAATTCGACCATCTAACGTTTCGGAGTAGATTCGTCTTCCTCGCTTCTGTCACTTTCCATAATGATGATTTCTTCGATCCTTCGTTACTGCTCTTTCTTATGTTACTGTTCCTTGTACACATCACTATAAAATGTCACTTAAAATTCAATAATATTCAGTTTGTATGCAATTCTGAAACGACAACGCGTCACGGTCACTACTTGGCGCGTTTTCGACTTTCAACTATCGCAGCGCTACGTATCGAGCATTTTTGGAATCTATCGATCTACGCGGATAAAGAAGGATTCGATTATTATATAGGTGTCACTTCAGTCGGAATGCTTATGGCGGTTCGAAAAGTGCGGTGTTTCGCGATTGTTTTTTCTTATAACGTTTTCGTTGTTCTCCTGTGTTTAATTATCGTCCTCCTAATTATCGTCACGTGTCACCTGGCTTCGCGGCTTCTTCACGGCTTCGATCGTAGGAGTATCATGTAAGTTTGAATCTAATTCTTCTTTTCATTCGATTAAAGGGTGCCACGCTAATAAAGATGGTGGCAATGTTTATTCCAATTTCCATGCTAACGATTACTCGATATTTCAAACACGATAGACCGTGTAACAAGAAATAAATTTAATAGGCCATTTTATTTGATGAGTTTGTTCTAACTTAATTACTTGCCAAGCGTTGTTGTGTTAACGGAAAGGAACATGGAGCGTAAGAGGTTAAAGAACACTCCCATTCCATTAAAGTATCATTAATATATGGCAAATAGCGTTCGCAAGAAGAAACTTTGCGATTTATACTAAAGAAACGAATAGTGCTTTGCTTCAAACGTCATTTATTCGTCGTTCGGGCGCGAACGTGATCGCGTTTAAAAATAACGTTCCAGCGATTGTTCGAAGCGAGTAGTCGATAAAGAAAGTACCTGCAGTTGTGCCACGTAAAAGGGGAGATTTATCATTTCTGATTCTGCGTTACCCTTCGCGTAGCCACGGTTACGATGAGAACCACCGTTTGCGATTCTGTGTGCGCCGTTACACGATATATCAGATTACATATCCGTTGCGTCATGTAAATTGATACTTGTACATGACTGAACACCACGAGCGAACATTTATTCGAGTGATAAATTATCGTAATGTCGAACAGTCACGCTTTCAATTCCAATTTCGCTAACTAGATCACCGGGCATCGTTCGAGTCTAGTGGATGGGAGCTTAACTCGAGTTAAGTAGCCGCTAAGAACATAGTATATTACATAACGAAATGCTCTTTTAGTGTTATTTCCGCGAGTAAATGAATCACTGAAAATGATCTATTTTTGACAAAACTAAATAAACACAAAATGGATCTCCGCCATGTTCATCGGTCCTTGAAAAAGAAGGGCGTTTTTGGACCGCCATACATTGTTGGCAAGTAAGCTACGCGCATCTACCTGTGCTCCGGTTTCGAGACAAAAGGGACAGAACCCTCGAACTCCCTTTTCTCTGGACGTCGATAGTCGGAGGCGAGAGGGGCGCAGCGCGGCGCGGATTGAACGCGTATATACGTGTATGCACTTTCGCAGCGGGATGACTAGTGAGAGAATTCAATTTTCATCGTCGTTATCGTGGCTGCATCTTCCACTCAGCTCTCGTCCCTCGTTTTTTCTCGGCCGGACATCGAATCTTGTGCCACGCGGTACGAAAGGGATGACGATGGCCTGTCGTTCCGTCGAGCACCCTTTTGTTCTTGAAATCTTTGCGTCGAACCTGAGAGCACGTTGGTTGGTTACTTTACGACAAAAAACTTAATGGAGCTGATCACACTGTTCGGGGAATCGATTACCCACGGCAAGTTACGCTGCACTTTATGAAACCTTGAAAAATTGCATCTCTACTTAATTACTTGTATGCTTACTTTGTGACTCTAATGAACGCTACGGTGCATTTTTATCTAGCAACTTTGAACAATCATCTCAAGTTCTTTCATAAGCATCCTGGCACAAGATACTACCTACGCTTAATACCCGCAACGTAATAAATTATCAAAATCGTTTAATAGAACAGAAGCACGCTGTTCGTTTCAAACTTATCGCATGTCATCCAGTTAAAAATCCGTCGCGATACAACCGAAAAACGTCAGAATCCTGATAACAGTTTGACAGTGACGTATCGAGACGAAAAAATCCGGAACGAGATTGGCCGCGACCTTTAAGCGTGCACATCGATTTTTCGGCCCCGTTTCTGCACCCGTCTTTACGATAACGCGGTTTCCCGCGCGATAAACACGCCTCGAGCGTAACGATTATATATTTTACCAGTCGAACAGTGTACGGACGGGCCCTCGTTACGCAATCGTGCCACGCTTCCCAGCTGTCCGATCAGTGGTTTCCGAAGGGAGCCAAGGGGTCATGGTATCGTAGGGCAAAGAAAAACAAGCCTACGTCAATCGTGTACATCGATTACTAGCTTGTTTGGGTTACACGATGATACACGTACGTCATCGTAACCGGGGGATTCTCGAAAAATTAGTCCCCTGTCGCTCTATCACTTAATAAGATAAAGCGAGCAGGATTACAATCGTTCTTTATGAAAACTCAATATAGCTACTAACCTAGGTATATGGACATAGTATAAGCATTCGGTCAAGAGCCGTCTGGGTATGATAGAAGCAAAGTCAGTAGCCAGTGATGCTATTCACAGAAAGGCGAACTCTCGAGCCCACGGCTTTCAATCTCGTGGACGATACCCAGAAGAGCAGTCTCACGCTTTGCGAGCTATGTACAGTCGGTTCTTGCGAGCAATCTAATTTCCAATTTCTACCCGAAGGACTCGGATCAAATTCCAACCTGCTACTACCTGCTAGATCCCGCGAACCTGGTGAAAGCTTGTAATTACCAAGCCGGTCAAAGCGAATGTCCGATGGTATGCCCGCCGATGAAGAAGAAGAATTTTCTGCGCGAACAGAGTCGATTCTGCGAACGTTTCCTGGAGAACGAATCGCGAATGGGCGTGTGTCACCAGAGTCCGGGGACAGATCGAACCAATGGGAAGGTGGGAAGGCGTGGATCCGTGTGGCAGAGGACAGCAACCGGACGACACGGGAAAGAAGGGGACTCTCGAGCGACACGAGCCGTCCCTCCGTCCCTCTCGACTCCTCCGCCGCGTTTGTATTTGTGATCACGGTCACAGAATCGTCCGGTCGAGTAGTGGGGTAACGGCGTAAGGGGTCGAAGGGGAATGGAAAGCGTAGGGGGGACGACTAGGTCCGCCCATCGGACCGATGGTAGGGGACAAGCGTTGGGTGCGCGAACTACGGCGCATGTGGCACCCGCTCCTACGCGTACGAACGACGTGTAGCAGAAGCGAACTTCGAGACGAACGGATCTCGAACTGTTAGCTATTTTCGAGACTGAATCGAGAACCGAATAGAAAGGAATTTCTTTATTTGTTTGGTTTAGAGAGGTTCAAAGGGAAGACGGGTTCGAGCTTCTTGGATTAATATTTATGTTTTTGCGTTTAGTACTATACGGTGCACCGTTCGCCGGTAAGAGCTCTTCTTACTTACGTGTTGCTTACTGTGTCGTATTGGGTAGATATACAGGGTTTTAGCGAAAATAATAAAATCAAATTCTTATTTTTCAATTAGAGTGAATTTGAATCTATGATAACTTGCGTGTTGCTATCGTAACAACACCTCCCTCGCAATCTATAGGCTTCTCGCAAACTTCTCTTCACAGAACATCGTAAGACTTTTACCTGGTACAAGATAAGTGAGGAAAGTTACTCCTTTCTGCTTGAAAAGCGATTCAGTTAACAGGTCAAGCGTTGAATTTTAATCGTGCGCGTAGTAAAAGGAACGTAAACAAAATTTGATTCGACACGAACGATCGCAAAGGAATTTTCTCATTGCAATGGTAGAAAGAAAAAGCCGGTTGGCCGGCGATGCAAGGCGGTGGAAAGATCGTTGGACGATTAGGAGATTTTTCCAATGGAAACTGCGAGCGATTCGCAGTGATCTCCTTTCGTGCGTCAAAAGCAACATCGGCTTTGTAACGAGTGGGGCGAGCAGGTTACGGAATATCTGTCGGTGGGCACACACGTAGACCATATTCTACTCGGTAGCTCGAGTACCTACCTACCTCTCTGGCTATGCGCATAAATTTCCTTACGGGGCTTCTTCGTCATGGATCGTGACCACGGACGTCTGCTCGAACAAAATGACCGCTCGCTGAAAGAAAACTGCACGTTGAAATAAGAAAGAAGGAGTAACAACGAAACAGGCAGAAAGAGAGGGAGCGTTGAAATTGCCTTTTAAAAATGCACAGGTTCTCGTAAAACTTGGACTGGAAAAATTATGCATAGCTGCGCTTTTTTTATGCAAACCGAGAGTCGCCCGTTTCTTTTTCCTTTTTACTTGTCTTTGAAATTGCGAACATTCGATTCGTATAGACGGAAAATCAGCGTCCACGAGGGTTGTTGGTTTGACGAGGCTTAGACGGTTAACGTGTCTCGAACGATTGACGTCTCTTAATTGTGGCTTTTCTCTTATCTACTGTCACCCTATCCCCTTGTTCGCGTTAAGTCTTAGGATTAGTCTCTCTATCACTGACGGCCCACGTCGAGCTCCTAATCTTTCCCTCGATAGCCACTCGTATCGGGAGCTTATTGTATCGACCGTTTGGTTTAGCGCTCCATACATTCCTCTAAACTTTTCTATTTTCTCTCTATAACAATTAACGCTTTACCGGCAAAAAAGTCATATAATCGACGCGACGGTATTGCCGTCGAGTTTCTTTTGACACTTGACATTAAAAGTCACGGTATTCGTGCAACTACGTCTCCGTCACGTCAGGTTGACGGATCGGCGTGCGCACTCAGGAAATTAGGCAATTTCCGGGCCGTGCTCGCTCGTGTCTGCATTTAATAGCAGCAGCAGTTACCAGGTTCGGTGGAGGCAAGCCAAGACGACGAGCGGTATCGTTAGAAGCGAGTATAGGTACTCTTTCGTCTACCTACTTACTTACTTACACTCTTCTACGCCAGACGGTCGTCCTTTGCTGGATCGATCGCGCCTCTTGCCTTCTGCTCGTCGCAACTTTTTAGAAAACAGCCGCGAACATTTTCTTATTAAAATGAACTTGATAGTTGATGCGTAATCATCGCTATATCGCATAGTATGTGTACGTCCTCGTAAGTCGAGTAAATTATATAACGAACGTGACCAAAGTTAGTAGCTGTTAAACAAGCGTCTTCGACACGGCAAGAAG